AACTTGCTTATTTCGAGGCAAGAAGGGGATCAACAAAGAGAGCATCAAGACAGTTTCAATGAAGAACAGCTGGGCCGGATGTATGAATATCCCCCCCTCCTTTCAAGTGGCAAAGACAGGTTTGGGCGGATTCACAGCGTATTTGCAGGAGTTCCTCTCCATAGCGTGAGGTTCCTAACAGCGAGGCATGCCGTGGTTAACGGGGAGGGGGGGGGGGGCGGCTTCTTTTGTCGACGACATGATGTTCTTCCAGCGAGCCTGCCCAGCTCAAAAGGCCCCCTCCACCCATTGGCAAACACTACGCTCGGATGACGCCTTCCTTTACCAAATAGTGCTTTGGATGTGTTTTGATGCTTACATGGTTGTAAAGGCCGATCCCTTCTATTTTGCTATGCTGCTTCTCTAGGAACGGCCCAGGGACCGAGGACAGGACCAGGGTGCGGGTGGGGTCAAAGCGGCCTTCCGGTGGTCACAAAACAAAAAGCCTGCGAAGACTCGGACGATGATCATCCTTGGTCCGAATGTGACTGTCATGATCATCTGCTACACTTGCACCGGCAAGGAACAACGGTGACAGCGCAACGAAAACCAACAGGGACGCAGTGGACTTGGACTGCAAAGTTTCGGCCGTTCGGGGTTAGTTGGGGGGCTTCGGAGCTGTAAGACTCAAGCTGGCTCAGGTTTGACGTTTTGTAAGGGCACTGCAGGGAACTGCAGTGTACTGCAGTGTACTGCAGTGTACTGCAGTGTACTGCAGTTCACTGCAGGGCACTTCAGGGCTTCAAGTGGCTTTCGTTAAGCCGGCCCAGAAGCAAAGCGTCCCGATCCGCCATGCTCAGAGCACGAATCTCGCACCTCATCTTTACAAGCATGGTGAAATGTACAGTATGCACGTGTATGCACTTTCTTTGTCACAAGTTTGGAATGGTTTGGAACCTTCGCAAAGATAAACATCGTGTCCAAGACCACCCAAGGCACTGGATATAGACCAGGAGGGCATTGTATCCCGTGGCAAGCGCCGTGACGCTCCGATTTCCACGGTGCAGTCTGCTCTGAATCAGAACAGTGTACAACAGAAAGGTCACAGTTGCCGGGACGATGGACACGTCCTGAGATCTGTGAAGTGCTGCCAGCAAAAAAACCAGGAGACAAACTGCAAACTCGACGCAAGCCCTTGTGAAAGATTGCAGCAGCCTACAAAGTGGCCGGAATCCTAACTGCCAGCTCTGAGATGGAGGAATCCCATGCCCCATGTCTCGTTTCCCCGCACTGACAAAGCGTCGAATGTGGGCAGCGATGCCAAGCCGAATTGCGTGGCCTCTCAAAACTGTAGAGATGGTGTGAGGCTTTCTGTGCTTTTTGTTCCGTTCTGGGGGGGGGGGTACGGGATTTTGATATGGTTCTGTTGTGCACGGGTGCTGAGTGGAGGTTTGAAACTAAAAATTTGAACATGCGCAGACACTTCGAGTGTTCTCCCAGCCTTGAGCCAAACGAACATGCAGTGCGCAAAGCACCTGAGCCAACTCTGCCCTCTCGAACTGCACACCTCAAATCTTCGAATCCTCGAATCCTGAACCTCCACAGTCTCGTTATGGCTATGCTATGCGGCTTTTCTTGGCTCAGGGGTTTAAGTTCAAGTTTTAAGTTCAAGTGTGCTCGTGAGTGGGCAGGCGGTGTAGATTGAACACACGCCTGTGTTGCGAATTCCTTGCGTGTGGACGCTTACTTTGGGTCTGCTTGGCTTTGGGGATTGGGCGGCTCTGATCGTCTGTGTAAGACTGTGCCTCACTTGATCTGTCCCGAAAAAGGCTCGGCTGCCTGGAAAGACTCTTGAAAGGCCCATACTGGCAGGTTTGTTGAACCATGCCCAGTCACAGAAAGCTGACGTAGTCCATCAGAGTATAGCAGGTTTCCACCCTGGGATCTGGGGATGGACTGAAAGGGAAACATGAGTCAGTATGAGCTGTGAAGGGCATCTGCACAAGCCCTTTCAACCAGGGACTTCGGGATCTCAGACCATTCAAAGTGAGGGGGGGGGGGAGGCCGACATAGTGGAGTGACGGGCCGTAACGGAGACCCAGGGGCAAAGCCATAACGACAGGCCTGTAACTGAACCCGGCCGATGGAAACCACGGAGTTGTAGCAGAAACCGCCGGGAACATACAACCGGAACTAGCAAGGGTTGCAACAGAAACCAGATAACCGGAACAATGAAACTTCCCCCCCCCCCCTTGCACTTTGGGGATTAGGGTTTAAAGAGCAGGGGGGTTCAAAATGAAAAGTGAATGTATGGGGATTGTTGTTGTTTTATGGCTTCCATTTCCGTGTCCACATGGGGCTTGACTTACATCCCACTTGGCCCACACCCAGTCCCCCAGTCGCCCAGCGTACTCATGTTGAAAGACTGAAGCTCCCACACTTCCAAACTTCTGAAGCCAAGCTGAACCCACGCGTTGCGAGTTTGGAGGGTTGCAGTGTGCAGTGAGCCTCCATCAGCTTGTGCTTTGTGTGGTGGGCTTTTTTGGGCTTTCTGGAGTGTGCTTCCAGACGGGAGATGCCTCTTCTGCTCCAGAAATCGCTCCAGGCTCTTGTTGTCGACCTGCAGTTCGCTGGGATTCGGGTGAAGGGCTGCGTCTGCGTCGTGGGCAAGCCCCCGTGTGGCCCTGTCCACCATCTGCCCTGCAGACATTCAAAGACAGCCATGTGAGTCATGTGGCATCCTGGCACCCTCCTGCTCCTTGAACATATGTGAAACCTCATGACTTGCAACCAGCCCTACGCGACAACAACAGTTTCTAGCCCGGTCCTATCACAGCTGAGCCCAAGCTAAATCCCAAACCCAATTCCACCTGCTTTGACGGCTTGGAGCAGCTCTTCTCGGCATAGATCTTGTCGATGCCTGAGGTCACCACTAGAGCTTTGCATCTGAAATCTCAGACATTCTCAGGCTGCAAGTCGTGAGTCAATGCTGTAGCTTCCTGACAACCATCTTGGGCTTCTTCGTGGGCTCTACAGGATACAGGGCCTCAGGGACAGCATTGGGGGAACTATGTCTGCCAGGCTGCACAGGCGAGCTATCCGGCCGGAGTTGACAGCAGCCACTGGGGCCTTCCAAGGGTTGCATGAGTTGCAGCTTGGGCCTCGAGATCCACTGAGACAGCTTTGTAACCATCCACAAAACATTCCCAACATCAGCCAGCTCCCTGTACCGCAACACAACTCCCTCCCGCCAAGAGGATGGGCAAGAGTTCCAGGCTCAGCACGACCACGCCCTGCCACATGCTGCAACAAATATTGCAACAGCATTGCAACATATTGCGACGTACTGCGACGTACTGCGACTCTGCGACTCCTACACGTTCGTTGCTGCTCTACATCTGCACGAATATGGCTATTGATTTTTTGCGTCACCGCACTCGTTTGATATTTGTCGGCGGGTACGTGGTACGTGGCGACGATGTGCCTACTCCTCTGATGATCCCCTTCCGACTGCTCGTGTTCATCAGAATGGGGAACTTACCGGCTGATTGTTGCTGATTCTCATTCCTTTGTTGCTCGAAGGTGTAGAACTTCAGAACCACCAGAACCCCACCGCCCAGTTTACATGTCGTCGGTTACGGTTACATGGTTGCACTCCCTCCACATGACATAAACGAAAGCAAGGCCCCTGTATGAGAAGCAATCTTCACAAAGCCCCAACAAGGATCCGAGACTGTTTGGCTTGGGAAGGTTGTTGGGTGTGGGACGTGGACCTTCCCCATGATCATGTCGTCCGAGATATCCGACGCATCCAACATTGCTTCTTGGGTGCCCGATTAAACACAAGAAGTAAAACCAAAAGGCATCATACAAAGGCAATGCTGGTGACCGTGGAAACCCGCAGCGCCCGTATCTGCACTTCTCTACCCCCGATCCGGTTTTGAGGCGTGCAGGCAGCTGCAAGCAAGGGTTAAAACTACCTAACTTGTACTGGATGTGGCTGAGCAACCGATTTCGGGCCAGATCACCCCTAAGTGCCCGTGCCACATGATCCACGAGATGATCCACTCTTTTTCCACAAGGAGCAGCCTTCTTTTCTTGCGCTTTGAACTGGTGACATGCCAGAATTCTTTAAAAAAAGAGGGAGAGAAACATCTTGTATTCGCGCAGTGCGGAGCTGAAGGCCTACGCGAACAATTTTCGTCCGTTTCTGTACAATGCGATGGGCTACCGCACACTTGAAGATGCTGTGCTAACTTCTCTTGCTTCTGTCCTCTTGCTGCCAAGACAGGCAAAGTCCACTGGATGTGTCTAAGTCATTCTAAGTCTATGTCTATGGCTTTTGCTAACGTCACCGGCTATGACCCGGGTTGGGGATGGCTGGGGGGATCAATTATGTTTTGGTTACCATCTTCTGTCACTTCTGTTATCGTTCTTGGGCTCTGAGTCTTTGAGGTTCCGAGCTGTGAGGCTATCGGGCTTCAAGTTGCGACTTTCGGGCATCGATCGCTTCTGTTCTTGGACTTAGGGCTTCGAGTTGATGGCGTGTTTCGAGGTCACTTCTGTTCTTGGCCAGAAAGGGAACAGGGGAGCAAGTCTGGAGACACGGCGATGAATCGCCAAGATGCGAGACATAACTCGTCCGACAACACGAATCACGGGAAAGCCACACCGTGGTCAGCTTTGGAAGGCAGCCCAGCAGCCCATGCTTCTCGAAGTGGCACCTGCAGAGAGGCTTACCCACTGTTGAAGCCACTACATGGCAACAGCGATGTCCTTGGCATGCTAGGGTCTGCCAGAGTCTGCTCGAGTCTGCCAGCGCCTCTTTAGAAGCATGATGGGCAACAAGCTTAGAGCCGACCCCGGGCAGGGTGCCGCCACTGACCCGAGAGCTTTCCCAAGGCAGAGTAACAAAAAAGCCCACAGGCGGCAAGAAAGAAACATAATCCGAGTGAGGAGCTCTTCCCTTGAAGGAGGAGCTCTTCGGAGCGCCAGGAGTGCCATGAGCGCCAAAGATGCCTCTACAAATATCGCGAAGCTCGAGGAGGAGCCCAAGGTCGGAGGTGAGCGCTTCCGTCGCTCGCCTGTTTAGACTGTTTAGACACAACATGGCTTGGGTTGGCATATGGAAGTCGCGATCTCCTGAATTCCAAGTGCTCTGCTTGCGGGGTACTTGGGGGGCTTGCTTCTCAGCATGGACGCATCTGCACGTGCTTGAACTGCCAAGTGACAGGAATGCCGCTGACAAGGCTCTCACGACTGACGTCCTAAGCGAAACAACGCGCTTTGACTTTTGAGACCCGGCAGACCACGAAGGAGCAGGGTTTAACAGGAGGGCTTAGGAGGGTTCAGGCAGTTTAGGATGCACATACCGAAGTGGTGAACACGCCCGGAGCTCCTTCATTGGCATCTTCCTTGCAGTCTACATTGTCTACATATTTCTCCGAAAGGTTTCACCTCTGGCCTCTGGCAACCCGAAAGCTCACTTCGTTGGCGACATGCAGCCCGAAATCTACCACGAAGCTGCTTGCCGAACTCCAATCGGAGTGCCAGCGGTCAAGTGTGCGAGCCATTACGGAGGTGCTAGTAGGTGAATGAAGGTGAATCACAAGTTCGCTGCAGAGCTTTTCCAAGAACCGCCTTTAGCCCAGCCTAGATGCGGAACGCGTGCCCCGGCCAACAGCTCGGTGAAGACTTCCTGAATTCCACCCCGACTTGCACAGGGGATAGGGCTCTGGACTCTCTGCAATAAGAGCTTCCTCGACCACGCATAAGAGCCAATTTCAAACGGTTAGCAATGTCGTGGCTCAGACCCCGTGTGCTCAATCATGACCTAGCGCGCGCACAGCGACGCAGCGTAAGACACATGGGCGCATGTGGATGCATGGGAGCAGCTGATATCAGAATGCGCTTGTGTTGCTACGTAGCTCTTCTGCTCTCAACACTAGGGATGATCTTACAGTACGAAAAACGCGCATTGTTCAGGGTGCCGGTCAAATCCCGAAGCCCTGACCCCCGATCTCTGGGACATTCAGATGCCACATGTCGAACACATGATCCGATGAGCTCCCATCAGGGCCGGCAGAAATCAAGAACCAAACATACCGGTTGTCCTAGCCCGTGCAACCTCGCGTCTGACCCAGCCTACAATCTTGGAACAATCCTGTGTAACTTGCCAGGCAAGAAACGACCCGAACAGCAGTATAAGCCGGTTTGTCGCACGTCGCGCATGCGGGCCGCGGGCATGTTACAAGCCAAAGGTTTAGGCACACAGGCAATATGGATACTGAGATACTGCCCACAACCGCAGACCCGGCATCTCATTCAAGGTTTAGTAAAGTTTGGTCCGGTGAAGAACTATCCGGTAACTATCCGAACATGTCTGAAAGTGCTGGCCCAGGGTCTTTCTTGAAACCTTCGTATTCGTATGTCGCAGAGGGTCAGCAAGAGCTCCTGGTGCGTGAGAGCACAAAGAAAGAAGGAAAAGGGAACACACTCGGAGCACTCGGAGCACTCCATGGACTCCATTGTAACTCACATCAATCAACGACCTCACGTACTAAGCCGTGAAGCTCATCACACAATCTCCCGGATCTCCCTGCGTTCTTCCGTTCCCCTCACTTGCAGGGTGTCTCCTTCGTATGGCCAGGGCTCCGAACCCATTGCAGCTCCGCGCGCCTGAGGGCCGAAGGTTTGCAGCGGTGCTCAGGCGAGGGTGCAAAGGTATTTTTGAGGTTTTGAGAGGGCTCGGGGGGTTGCCAACCTCTTCACGAAGTCACCCTTGAACCGAAGATTTGACGCAGCGCTGTCCTTAAACAAAAGTTTGCCCGAGCCGAGTCGAAGGCCTTGCAGCTAAGACCTGTGTGGCCATCTTCGGGAAGACAAAGGGCACCTCAACAAGCTAGTACCAGCACAGATCAGCACAGTGTCGGCCCACTGGAAACAAGTCTCGGACAGCTTTGGTAGCGCAAGTGGCTAGGCATCCCAGGCCCGAGAGACAACGCAAGCCAAGCTAACTCAAGCGCTGGAGCACAATCGCTGGAGCTTGGGAGACCCCATCCGAAAGTGACCTCAGTGGAAGGACGGGAACGGCCGAGCCTTCGGAGCTTCGGAGCTTAGGCGATTTGGGGGCATTATGGGTGCCATGGGCGGCGTGCGGCTTGGAGCCATAGAAGCCTTGGGTACAAATATACTTTTGCACCACGCCCGTGCGGCCAAGGTGGCTTGGCAATCCAGTCGTTGACATCTTGCCAAACGCCTGAGTGCGGTGTGACAAGGCAGCACGTTGCGGAGTACCCGATGATACCGGGTGGTCTCGCAAGCGGAACATCAATGTAGTGCAACGAAAGACGCTGCACACCTGAGAACAACCTGGGAGTCTCATATCGACGAGTACATTGAACACACCATTTGCAAACAACAGATGCCATCAGATATCACACCGCACCAACCGGAATCGTCTGTGTGCTGTCCGAATTCGGGACGCACGTCGGAGAGTCCATTTGCGCAACTGTACTTCACGGGCATACAACGGCTGCAATGGTTACTTTGAACCCATGTCAGTACACCCAACCCGTCATCCAAAGCTTTCATCGCTTCTTCCCGTCTCCAAATTCGAACCCGGAAAAAGGCCCCCTGAAAAAAGCTCAAGGCCCGCCTGGAACAATGCACTCGCGGAGTGCCACCCTACGTTCTTTCGCCAACCTCCAGCTTGGAACTCTGGGAGTTAAGGGAGTCGTGCCACATGACCAGAATTTATAAAGATCATTGAATGCGTGGAACATGGGGCTTGGGGCAGTTAAGGACTTCAATGGCATCGTGGAGTTTAACATGTCTGGAAGGACTCTGGAACAATGCGCGAGAAATCGATGATGATAATTTTCCCCAAGCAGTCTACTGTTGGGCTTCTAAATTCATTTAAGGATTGCCGACATTCTGAGGACTGTTGCCGGGTTCCTGGGCTCATTGTCTCCCTTTGTCTCCCTTTGTCTCTTTGTCTCCCTGTGTCTCCCTTCATGTGGGTGGCTTTGCCGGGCTGCTGTGCTCCTCGTCTCCCTTTGTCTCCCTTCGTCTCCCTTTGTCTCCCGCTGTCTCCATTGTTTCTTTGACATGGCTTGGACTGTTTGGGGTCTTCGGTGGTGTAATTCTAAAGTTCAAAGACGTGTTTAGTACTTGCTGGGTCTTGTTGGGATTTGGCTATCCGGGGTGCTTGGTGGATTCACGGTGGGGCCAAAAAACTCCAAAGCTCGAAGAGGCCGGAAGCCCTGGCAAACGGCCGTAAGCAGCTTACAAACCTGCTCCACCTGCTGAACCTGCTCTGCATTTTGGCACAACATGCGACCGTGATCATGTTGCAGCTGGCCTATGCGACACGTAGCAAACCTGAACCCCAAAACCGGATCCAAATACATAAGACATATATCTATATATACATGGGATTAGGGGTTACTCGCAGGGGTTCGACCCAAAAACCTTAGAAAGCTTGGACCCAAAAGACTCGTGCGCGCTATGCGCGCTGTGGGGCACCTGTGGGGCACCTGCGAGCCCCACACCTGAAACTAAGTGGCATCTGCTTCAGGACACAAGTGCCATCATCTGCCAAAGCATTCCAGCACGTACAAAAACCCTGTCGAAGCCACAAGCAAGCCCCATCGACTGAACCAATGTAAATGCAAATTCGACCCTAAATCCCTGAAACATCCCTGAAAGCTCAAGTTCGGAGCCTGTTCCCCTTCGATTTCACCGACAAGGTGATGTCGCACACCTCCTGAAGGCAAGACTTCCAAACCCGATCCTAACATTCGGGAAGCTTTCTGCTCTTCTGTTGAAAATCTCTCAGTCTCTTTAATTCTGTTAAGGGGATCTGTCGAGGCTTCCCGGCTTCCCCGAAACCCTCAGCACCCTTTGCCTCAGGCATCTCAGCTCTTCGCGCAGACTGAATCGAAACCCCAGAAGCTCTAACAAATCCCAAGTCGCCATTGTGCTGGGCTCGATCCGCAAGGCCACGGAGTGCACGACGCCACAGGGTTTGCTCGGAGCATCCAAGGACCTTCTGACTTCATGAGGGTTGCCAAAGGGAAGTGCAGGATCTTCAGAAGCGTGCAGGGGTACAATCGGGTAAAATAGCTAGCAGTCGGACCGGGCTCGAACGGCTTCAGCCCCCAAACCGAATTTCATGGGTTTTGGATTTAAACGCAAGAGCGCCTGAGGCCGTTGTGCAGTTTGTGATGTAGGGTCTGGGATGTCTGGGAGGCCGTCTGGGATAACCAAGGTTGTTTTTGGGGGTGTCCAGGGTTTAGGTTTTTATGACTTGCATGTGGTGCCTTGAGAAACAACTCAAAGCGTGTAAGTGCCTAAGCTTCGTGTCATACACAACTCTGAAGAACAAGACTGGACGGAGGCGAGACCCAAGCTTGATGAGGATGACGAGAGAAAGTCGCTAATTCGAGGTGCATGGCTGTCATGTTTCCAACACATGTTCATGTTAGCTGTGGAGGCCTTGGTATAACATAGCTTGCCGAGGAATGGCATGCGCTGGACAAGCTGCAATCTGCTTGCGTGGCTCGGGGAGGTGGAAAACCATGGGGGAACCGAAGGCTTGAATGGTGGGGGGAGGTCAGCATCCGCAAATCCCCTGCGTTCGTTGACAGGCGTGAAGGAAGAAATTGCTGTCCTAACTGCATGATTGCATGATCATTGGTCTGGGCGAGGCGAGACCCAAGCTTGATGAGGAAGACGAGAAGAAGTCGTCATTTCGAGGTGCATGGCTGTCACGTTTACATGCTCATGTTCAACTCCGACATACCTGATTGACAACGAAAAACGACAAGAACCCGCCTTTTTTGTGGCCACCAGCTATGAACTTGATATTTGCTGCCACCCCCTTCCTTGTGCCATAACATATCTTCAAAATGCATCACGGGAAAAACCTCCAGCAAAAGCAAGCATAAAGAACGCTCAGATTTCTTTGCATGTACAGCAGAAAACAAACACACAAACACACAAACACACAAACACACAAACACACAAACACACAAACACACAAACACACAAACACACAAACACACAAACACACAAACACACAAACACACAAACACACAAACACACAAACACACAAACACACAAACACACACACAAACACACAAACACACAAACACACAAACACACAAACACACAAACACACAAACACGCAAACACACAAACACACAAACACACAAACACACACACACACACACACACACACACACACACACACACACCACACACACACACACACACACACACACACACACACACACACACACACACACACACACACACACCACACACACAACCACACACACACACACACCACACACACACACACACACAACACACACACACCACACACACACACACACAACACACACACACACACCACACACAACACACACAAACACACACAAACACACACAAACACACACAAACACACACACAAAACACACACAACACACACACACACAACACACACACACACACACACACACACACACACACAGAGAAACACACACACAAACAGACACAGAAACACACACACAAACAGACACAGAAACACACACACAAACAGACACAGAAACACACACACAAACAGACACAGAAACACACACACAAACAGACACAGAAACACACACACACACACACAGACACAGAAACACACACAGAAACACACACAGAAACACACACAGAAACACACACAGAAACACACACAGAAACACACACAGAAACACACACAGAAACACACACAGAAACACACACAGAAACACACAGAGAAACACACACACAGAAACACACACAGAAACACACACACAGAAACACACAGAGAAACACACACAGAAACACACAGAGAAACACACACAGAAACACACACAGAAACACACAGAGAAACACACAGAGAAACACACACAGAGAAACACACAGAGAAACACACACAGAGAAACACACAGAGAAACACACACAGAGAAACACACAGAGAAACACACAGAGAAACACACAGAAACACACACACACACACATATACACACACATATACACAGAGACAGACACAGAGACAGAGACAGACACAGACAGACACACACACACACACACTCACACTCACACTCACACTCTCTCGCACACAAAAAAACACGGCAAACCTTAAATAACAGTAACAGGAAGTAACCCACACGAATCCTCTCCCATCCTTTTCCTCTCCCACGATCGAAAACACACTCTGAGAGCACTGCCAGGCATGGAACGCCAAAGTCTCCGCATTCAGCGGAACCGCGGGTGCCACACCTGGACTCATTCGGTGCTTGCGATGGGGTTGAAGAGGGGGTGAAGAGGGGTTGAAGGAAGGGCAATAAGGGTTCCTGCTAGCCCTGCCTAGAGCCAAACTGCCGATCAACACAAGTCAAGCCATGCCTACACTTAGACTTCGACTCGACTCAGGTGGGAATTACAAGTACAAGTTTCCGGGCGACTTATGCCGGTCCTAGGGCTTCTCGGGCTGGCTTGGAATTCTTCCATCTTGGATGCGCTGTAGACACTCAAACTGTTGGCCTGCTGACGCCGCCAGCCGGGTCATGCAACCAAGCTTCTGCTGTCCAGCTTCTCAGACTCCTCCTCGTTGGCAACCCTAAACCGGCAACCCCAAACCTTGACTCACTACACAAAATCATTGCTCTCTAGCTTGAACAGATGTTGTTCAGAGGCACAACTAGTCTACTTGCAGTGCAAGGGTCGATGGACTGCGGAAGGAGGTGAGCAGCGTCCTCCACAGTCCAGCTCAGGGTTGCACGTGCAGCAGCACGGGGGCTACGACAAGAGGAAGAGGAGCAGCTAGTGAGCGAGTGAACAGGCATGAACAGGCCCAGTGATGTTGGGCATTGCCCTTCTACAGCCATCTTCGCCGAACCTTCGCAACTCCTGGAAGAAGCCTCGAGCCCGATCACTGATGGCTTGAGACGCAGCCTGTGGGATGACGTCGTCGAGCGATCCCTCGGCAGCAAACCTCTGGAGCTTGGGTGGATGGGACAATCTGTAGCTTCAACCAGCTGGGCCAGGCCACAACCGAAAGCGGAATCCCACACTTGGTCCAGCTTTTTACCAATGTACAACATCCTGGCGCTTGTGCAACCCATGCGACGCATGATCACGAAATGACTGAAGAGGGCATCAGCGAGGTCTTAGAGGGTGCGGGTAGGCTGGAGCAGCGCCGCATCTGTGAAAAGAAGCTCTCACGATCCCCCCCCCCCTAGGTCCTTAGGTGCTCACGCCAATCCTGTCTCGACTCTGAAGGAGATCTCCATCTCCAACACTAACGCGTCCGGAAAATCCACTCTGAGTTGAACCCGGCAACCTACTGCAGCCTACCACACTAAGTCCCAGGTGAGAGGCAACGTGGTAGGGATGTCCCTTACCTCGTTCAGTGCAACGACGTGGGAGACGCCCTGACAGATTAGGGCCCAGCGCCTCTCTTCTGTAAGCTTTGCTACATGCTGCAT